GACTTCTCCTACTCTTGTCTATATATCTTATGGCGATAACTTTGCAATTTCTCCGGCTTCAATGGGATATATTTTGGTCGGTCTCTTAACTTAAACCCGTTTTCCACTAGGCGAATTTGGGCTAGTTCCTCGGGTAGAGGAGAACTGATCACGTGATCGGCTAGTTGTGTTGTTTGTGGCGTCAGATATAACCCAATCCCTATCTCTAAGCCTAATCCTTAATCTAACCCTTATCCTAACCCTAACCTCAACAGTAATCACTATAACTAACTGATGACGTAATCTGTGATGCAAATTCTTCTACCCGAGGAAGTACCCCGAATTGGCTCGCTAAGACGCTAACCAATCACATTGTCAAGATTTGTTTTTCACTTTGTTTCGCGCGAGCGAATTCGCGTAGTGGAAAATGAGCTTCAAAGTATAAAACGTTCATAATCCTCTCTTGCTTCGGGAGTCATTCGTGCTAGGTCAATTAAATCATGAGACTGATTCTTTCAACTAAACGACACAGTTTAAACAAAGCCCATGCCAGCCATAATAGCTCGGAGCCTAGCTCAAAATATCGAGCCTGGCTCGGAACCTAGTCTAAATAGCTCGGAGTCTAGTTCGAAATATCGAGCCTCTATAGACTCTCGACTCCGAGCTATGCAGACTAGGCTCTAGCTGCGCTATAAAGGCTCGAGTGATATTTCAGGCTAGCCTCCAAGCTATCTAGCTAAGCTCAGTGGTGTCAATTGTAACGAAGTAAATGTACTTCGTTACTGCACTTGAGTACTATTTTTGAGAAGTCAGCATGTAACAAACTAAGTAAACTTTTTCTGGAGTACTTTTACTTGGAACGAAGTCCTTTTACGAAGTAACGTTTTACTTCGTTATTTTCACTTTGTAGCGAAGTATTTCGTTACTTTCTAACTTTTGTTTAATTTTACGTGATTTATTCCTGATTTATTTAAATTTTAGGATAGGTGATAGGATCTCTACATATAAGCATTATTTATTTAATGCACTCTAAAAACACTCTGGTTAAATTTGGGTTAATTCAACCAGTACGGGGTTAAAAATCCACCTACACAAGTCTGGTTAAAAAAAATTAACCATTTTCCTGGTTAAAAGTCCAAAAAAGTGTACCAAATTTTTGTTGAATTGATAATTTTTAACCAGGAAATGGGTTAAATTTAACCAGAATGTGTTGGGTGGATTATTAACCCAATTCCTGGTTGAATTTAACCAGAGTGTTTTTAGAGTGTGGATTTCTTATATCTTCAACGGGGTCTGGAGAGTAGACCATGCCGTGAAATATTGTATAATTAGGTGTACACATATAATGTGCGGTGTGCTGTTTTGTGTCTTTTGTATGTCAATACAAATTGCCATTGGAGAAGTCTCCCCTACACACTACAGACAATAATACTTTTACTTTTTACTCCAAGTATTTTTTAAGGATACTTTGTACTTTTTACTTAAGTACTTTTTACTCTTACTCAAGTCGTTTTATTGTTAATTACTTCTAATTTTACTCATGTACAAATTCAGTAATTTAGGCACCACTGGCTAGGCTCCAAGCTAAGGTTCAATATTTCGAGGTAGACTCCAAGCTAAGACTCCATAGACTCCTTGGAGCTAGCCTCCAAGCTATTCAGACTAGGCTCAATATTTCAAGCTAGGCTCCGACCTATTTAGACTAGGCTCCGAGTTAGGTTAATTTTAGATCCCATTGCACTGTTTTGACAGATTTTTGCACTTTTGTTGCTGATTTTTGCACTATTATTTGAGAATAACTAACTGAAATCAACCAATCATAGCCAAGTAACATTTTTTTATGTATATTATAATTGTATCAATAATACTAAGTTACTAACTAATTCAAAGTAATCAAAATCAATAGTTTGTCATTTTGACTGGAAAAACAGCCAAAATAAGGAAGGAAGCAGGTGGGAATGTGAAGCACTTGTTTTTTTTACCTAATTATTGGCTGGGAATCTTGCCCAATCCAGAGCAATTGAACCTGATTTGAATCACATTCAGTTCAGTATAGCTCTGCATTTGACTGCATGATTCAGGGCTGCAAATAAATATTTGACTTGACAGGACATTTGTCTGATCACTTTTAATTTTGGTCGGACATAACTTGAATTTGCTCTGACAAAAACCAACACCACTAAATTTGGTCGGACATACACTGTATATATGTCACAAGATATACAAAAGTCACGAGACAAGTATGTATAGCCATTCCGGTGCAATGTTAAGTAAAGTGCTAGAATGCCTCGTAGATTTTATTGCAAAATGCAAATTGAGTGAATTTGCAATCAGATTTTGTCACAGCAAGAAAATGTATAATGTGACAATTTTTTTGTGATCGGACCAATGTCCGATCAAATCATCAAAATTACTTTTGCTCAGACATTTGCCAACTTTAGTCAGACATTGTCCGATGTCCGACAGTAATTTGCAGCCCTGCTGGTTGAAAGAGTCATAGTTGGCCATGTTGGAATTTTGTTGGCATATCTCACTTGATTCAATAATACAGCAGTTGAAGGGCGTTGTAGATGGAAATTTATCGAGTGGAAATTTATATACATTTATTAGACCTAACCAGGAACAGCTGCGAAAAATGCAACTGCAGGTCCCTGGCAGGAATCAAACCTGTGGCCCTGCCGTCTAAAATAAATGTATATTAATTTCCAGTCGATAATTTCCATCTACAAGACCCTTCGACTAGGAAGAGATTATTTCGCTGGCCTCAGAGTGACAAAACGTAACACAGCAACGGTTTTACTAACACTAACCCTACTCCAAACACTAGAGCTGTGCGGTTCCAAAAATTTTATCTCGGTTCCGGTTTCGTTTTTTTTTTTTTAACAAAAAACCTCGGTTCGGTTCGGTTTCGGTTATTTTCAAAAAAGAAGAACAGTACAAATGTATGAACTTGTTTATGTATGTTTCGAGCATTTTTACTAAATAGATGAATTTATGCCTTTGTAAGTTTGTATAAATCTCTGAATATTTTAAAAGAACAATTGGAATTTATTTATGAAGATGTAATATTTCTTAGTTTTTAAAAAAATTTAAAGCAAGTTCACAAAAATAACTATCACAACTAAAATATCAACTATTTGAGCACTTAGTACAGTGCATATTGTGCACAAAGAGCACAATCTTGTTATTTTCCAAACATTTCAACCTGCAATCAGGTGGGTGTTAAACGGGAAATTAAAACCGAAACTACCGTTTTTTTGCGTATAGTTTTTCGATGCTGAAAAAAGTACCGGAAGAACCGAATTTTTCGGTTAACCGCACAGCTCTATCAAACACCAACCCTAACCCTGATCCTTACCCTAACCCTAACCTAACCCTACTCCAAATTCGTTTCTAAACCAATTCTGAAGAAAAAAGTTTTGACGAAATGTCAGTCTGAGGTCAGCGAAATAGTTGATGCCCTTCAACTATAGTTGGTCATAGACCAGTCCGGATCGGTTGTGTTTAGTCTGACTTTTTTCCACCTTTTCTAACTCTCAAAAGGTTAGGGTTAGAGAAGGCCGGGTTTGGGATTGGGATCGGTTTACCTTAAAAAAATTCAACCTCAACTATAGTCACTATATAGCCAGCAGTTTACTAAATAGCCAGCTGTATAGTCACTTTGTACTTTTTATAGGCAAAATTTTTAAATTTTCATCTATAAAGATGACAGAAAATTGCCAATATATCTAGTCTTATTTGTTAATGCATTATGCATATATACATAGTCATGGACCATCTTTGAACAAGTTACAAGCTAGATACCAGTATCATACAACTGCCATTTAGCTGCAATTAATGCACCCCCAAATGTATGTGCCCTACTTTACTATGCAACTCTGTCTAATGCCAGACAATTTTACTTGTCTTGAGACTTGCAGTTTAATAGACTTGCTCCATGTCTCTCTTTCATTGTCATATTGATCCACTATAGTGTATATTACATGACGTAGCACGGAGAGGCAGAGCGAGAAAGAGAGACTTGTCAACTTCGGAAAATCTCGGTTCAAAACTGAACCGAAAATGCAAGACTTGTTTAATTGTTTTCCTTCAATTTCTTTCTGTATTATTTACTGTAATGGAACTCGTGTTATTTACACTATGCTAGATCAATACATATAAACACAGACAGAAAACAATTAAAGAAAGTCTTGCATTTTCGGTTCAGTTTTGAACCGAGAATTTCCGAAGTTGACAAGTCTCTCTTTCTCACTCCGCCTCTCCGTGCTACGTCATGTAATTTACAAAATAGTGGATCGATACTATATGACAATGAAAGAGAGACTTGGAGCAAGTCTAGCAGTTTAATGGTTAAGCTTTCAGCATCTTGGCAATGTGATGGTCAGTGAAAAAATTCACACGAAAAAGTTGGACCGTTCCTACTTTTTACTGTTCATGTGAACAAATTTACCTAGTGGAAAATGGGCTCTAAATTCACCATTTCACGCTCAAAATTGTATATACACATGGCAGATGTCAAAATAATTATATAAAATACACCTGCCAATTGCTATCAACAACTATATACTAGGAGACAGCTAACCCCAAAGCAAAAAAATATAGTTATTCTTCTATGAAAGGATGCTTTTGTGAAACATTAGTACATTACCAGGTCCTTCTGTGAAACTATGAAACTTTATTTAAATCATAAAAGTTTTCATGCATAATTTTTAATACGCGCTCGAGTGAAATTTTACATGTCAGTGATAAACATTACGCAAGAAGCGTTTGAACTTTGAAGTTGTTTATGTAAAGTTTTTTGTCACATGCAACGTTAATAACAATGCAACCAAATGAACACATTCTCTGACTTGGAAATGCGTTTGCTAGCTTCTCGAATGAAGATATTAAACACAATATTAAATAAGATCCGAAAGGCTTAAGGCTGGTCCTCCCACATGGCAACAAATGTCAAGTACTGTCAAAATATGCAAATGCGCGTCATTGCGGCCTTTGTACGTATTTTACAGTATAAAGACATACCTTTGCAGATAAACTACTTCGCTAAAAGCACTTGAAGTATTGAACGAATTTAAGTCGCTGTGATAAAGTTCATATGTGGTTCATATGCTTTCAACAATCAAAACTTGCTTGCTCTTCCTGTAGTATTTTCGTCTGCTCTTCATTTATTGATTTTCAAATTTCCAATTCAAATTTCAACATATATATTTCAAACTTCAATGATTTCAAAGCGGTGCTTCCATTCTAACATTCACGTTTCAAAACTTGGATCATGTTCTAATTTCCGTCAAAAATATGAAAATGTCGTGTTAACCAACCTCGTAACAGACGAATAATAGTCCATACTTGTTTTTTTATATACGTGGTACATCCAAATATATATTTTGTTGTTATTCTATGCCTACAAATGGCTTAGTTAGGAGCGGAATTTCTCATTTCAAACTTCCGTTTTAAAGATTAAATTTAAACTTCCCTTTATTTAAGATCACTGAACTTCACTGAACTTGGATTTTGCCCTTTGGTTGGCCTTTGGACTTTCAGCAATCGCACCACCAACTGGCCAGCGGTTATTTTGCTGAAATCTTGGATATATAGAGGAATGTCAGTGTTACCATGCAAGAAGGTACAGTATATATTAAAAGTATAAAAGTAATGAAATTTAATTTTATTGCCATGTTTTCTCACAATTCAGTGACCGCCACAGCAATACAGAACAAAATATAGCAAATGACAACCGTAAACCTCTGAACATTAAAAAGCTGTATAAGCCCACCATACTCACTAACGCTCTGGCCATTTCGAATATAAGCCCCCAAATATAGATCCCTCCGTCACAGTCTCTGTAATCACATGGGCTTATTATTGGACAGGCAACGACGGGAGTTAATTCCAACAGCTCACACAACAATAATTACATTGTGTTATTTTTGAGGTTTACAGTACCACAAAAGCCGAACTATGCAGGTTTTAGCATAGCTGCATAGGTCTCCCGAAAGGTCTTTTATTTAAAAAAAATCCATACAATTTGAGCTTTAAATGCAATGCTTTGACATGCAATGCTTCAATGTACAGTAAAACCTCTATAATTTGTTTTACATGATGTACGTGTAACATCACAATAGCGTTGCATCATTATGTATATATATTACATAATGACGTAACCAGTGGACGCAACGCTATCACAGAATAGGAAGTTATACCAGAAGCGTAACTCGAGCAAATATTTGTCCGCGTTTTTACAAGCGATTCGTCATCAATCACGCCATCCTGGCTAGTACAACCGGCACTTTGCACCTACCAAATCCTGATAAAAACTTCCGGCTGTACTAGCCAGGATGGCGTGGCCTGACGTGAGCGAGTTAAAATTTTCGTGGACGTCAAACAATAAGGGAAACGACTAGAGTTACGCTTCTGGTATAACTTCCTATTCTGTGACGCTATTGTGATGTTACACATACTTCATGTAATACAAATTATAGAGGTTTTACTGTACATTGAAGCATTGCATGTCAAAGCATTGCATTTAAAGCAAATTGTATGGATTTTTTTAAATAAAAGACCTTTTCGGGAGACTATGGTTTTAGTGTTTTGACTGCAGAGCTAGACGACAGAGGTAATTAATACTGATTATGTCAATTACATGGGTAGATTCAATATTCAGAATAATGCTACATTATTAACTAGTTTTATTATACATTGTAGTCACTAGTACTACATGTCCAGGGATGTATATACAAAAAAATACTTGTTGCAGGAGGAGGTGATGTTTTAACCCCCATCCCTCCCTCCCCCTAACCTGAGTATCAGCGATCGCCACAAACCGTAATCCGATCGCTTTCCACCCACAGCAAAGTTTATATTTAGTATCCAATCAAAATGTTGCAATGATTGCAGGTTACCCTCCCTCTGCCTAATGTGCTCCCTTGTGATTGGCCAGTAGCCTACATCTAAATATGGAAATTATGCAAGCGTACACATAAGGCATAAAAAAATACCTGTGGTTCCAGTTCCCGACCGACCCTATTTTTTTCTGCCTATTATTTTTTCAACATAATTGACCATGCAACCCTATTTTCTCCAGGTGGTTGCGGGCTGCTCATACAGCGTGCCAAAATGGCATCTGTTGTCACACTAATTATTGAACCAAATTGCCTAAATTCGTCCATAGGAAATACGCATCTCTACTTACTGTCGTTCCAATTGAAGTGTTGCTCAAATATTGATTCAATACATTACCTCGGGCTGACCAATTCATTTGATCAAGTTCCTCGAGATATTCATACACTTCCTAGTATAATTGTAAACTTCCTGTTGAATAGTTTGAATGCACCAATCACCTTTGTTGTTTGTCCAACTAACCAATCATAAATAGAAAGGAAGTGACCAGAAATGATCAAATACTTGGAATTGGCTCTTTCACAGGAAGTGTATGAATATCTCGAGGAACTTGATCAAATGAATTGGTCAGCCCGAGGTAATGTATTGAATCAATATTTGAGCAACACTTCAATTGGAACGACAGTAACATTGATGTCGGGACTCTACTGCAAATCGCCCAGCAAAAAACCGCCAAAACCATGAAAAAAATATTCAAAAAAAAAATTTATTTCCGACCTACCGACCCTAATTTTTTCACGATATGGAACCGGAACCACAGGTATTTTTTTTACGCCTAACTGACTTTTATCTGCTAGCAGATTTACTGAGTTATGTGTAGGTTGAGCCTGTGGTTGAGATCCCTATAGGACTGAATCCCTTTTAATCCCCAATTAACATAATTAGCCATGCAATCAAAGAGTTGATAATAAGCAGCAGAATAGTAGCCAATCACAGTACAGTACAGTACAGTACAGTACAGTACAGTACAGTACAGTACAGTACAGAAATCTATTCAATTTAAGGCAGTGCGAACACTAGGTTGTTCCTATCTAATCCTAACCCTAATCAAACCCTTTCCCTGATCCTAACCCTAAAAGTCTAAAAATAGTAACTGTTCCTAAATTGTGACTCATTGGCAAGGAAAACTGTGAGTTTTCCATAAGCGTGGTGCATGAGCGAGCCTTCACTGACCTCTCTATCTAATATATGCTACTGTCCCAACATTACCATTATTTGAGATGGCCATTTTGTTATGTTTTAGATTATCTTTTGTTTACAAAGTTTATATATCGGCTTTTTATCACATACACTAGACAGATTTAGATCGACGACGCGGACGTCAAAGACGGCGACGTGTTGTGCCCATGTATGGATATGCCACGTCACTAAGTTTCGACGCCATTTTCACGTCGTCTTTAACGTCCGCGTCCTCGATCTAAATCTGGCTACTATGCGTGACTGGACAGTTGTTGTAGCACAGTAAAATGAATTTGCTTGTTCAAGTACATTATATTTGAAAAAATGGATGCATGTACAACAACCTCGCAATGTTTACATATTTAACTAAAGCTTTCTGACTATTTTCTCATGAGCTCACAAATCATTTCGAGAAATCGTCATGCGCTAACAGTAGAAGTTCCGCTTTTCAAAAAGTGAAGAATGTATGGTCAAGCAGACTTTTTTACAGTAGACGTTCCGCTATTCGAAAAGTGAAGAATGTGTGGTACTATGGTTAAGCGGACTTTTTTAGGTTTGGGCTGGACTTCTCAAGAGGTTGCACGCCTTCCCCCCCCCCCCGCCCAGTTGAGTTGTCTAAATGTTTAAGTGTACACTCCTACAGTACTCAAGGTACAAGTAACAAACTGCAGTTTGAATGATAAACAAAATTTACAAAATTAATGTTAAATCATTTTTTCAAACTTCGCATTGAGTCAACATGTATTTCAAGCTTAACCAAAAGTTATGTTTAACTCCTACGGTTAAGGTAAAGTAATACGGGCAACAAAATTTCTGCAACTTGCAATAAAATCTGATTTCAACGCATGTTAATTGGAAATTTGTACTGATGGGTGTTGCAACTTGTGTGTGAACATTTCAATTAACATGCGTTGAAATAAGATTTTATTGCAAGTTGCAGCAATTTTGTTGCTCGTATTATATTACCTTAAAATGCTCTGACAATATTTTATTAATTTGCATGCAGGTATTTTGGCCATGCAAAAATCTAATGACCCAGTCGTGAGAGATGAGGATGATGAATTGATACCAGGTTGGTTGCACGACGAAACGTCAGAGAATGGTGGTCAAGAAATAAAATGGTCGAAAACGAATGAACTGGTCTATACCAATGAAACAGTTGTGAAACGATTGTATTTGCTTGCACGCATCCTCCAAAAATGTTTTGATGCTTTAGGGATTGTTTATTGGACAAGTGGCGGAACTTTACTTGGCTGTGTTCGACATCGAGGCCTAATACCTTGGGATGATGATCTGGATATTTGTGTATACAAAAAAGACGAAACCAAGATTAAAAATTCCCTGAACAATATGCTACTGGAAAATGACTGCGAAATCATTGAAGTGCCTACATTTGGTTATCGTGTGTTCCATAGAACCGAGTCTGAAGCTTTACCAAGTGAATATCAGCAGCATCGATATCCGTTTTGCGATATATTTATTATGAAAAGAAAAGCAATGATTTCTTTTATTGCTGCCGGATCTGGGAGAAGTTTATGGCCTGAAGAGTATTATCATAACAAAGATTTAGATAAAATGGAAAAGAGGTTATTTGGAGATATTCATCTTAACTGTCCAGCAAATGCTAATGAATATCTGTGCCGAACTTATGGCGAAAATTGGTTCGATGAAGGAGCAACACATAATTATGATCACATCACCCAGCAAAATGTTAATTGTGTCAAGTTTAAACTTCAGACGAAACATTATGAACCAGCCCAACCTTTCATATAACATTGTTGGAGGTGTTCATGGAAATTTGACCATGTTCATTAAAAAAAAACAAGTACAGAACAATTAGTGAGGCGGAAGAGAGGGCGAGCGTAGACATGAGGAATGTTCAGAAATGGCTTTGTGCAAATAAACTAAGTCTAAATATAGCGAAAACCGAGTATGTTTTAATTGGAACACGACATAAAATAAGTAATATTGATACCCATCAAGGAGTTAAAATAAATAATCAATTGATTAAAAAAGTTAAAAATACCAAAGCTCTTGGAGTTGAATTAGACGAAAACTTGAGTTGGGAAAACCACATTAACCATATTAGCAGTAAAATATCATCAGGTATTGGGGCTATTAGAAAAATGAGGGAGTATGTCGAACAAGACATTTTGATAAAAGTTTATAATGCCTTAATCCAACCTTATTTTGATTATTGCTGTGAAGTATGGGATACACTTAATAAAGGCCTAAGCGAACGTCTACAGAAATTCCAAAACAGAGCGGCTAGGTTGATCATGAACTTAAAAAATGAACATGGTCAGTCTATTTTGGCACGAAAATCTCTAGGCTGGGTAACACTTGAAGAGCGTAGGGCACAAATGAAAGCCAGGCTCATGTACAAGACAGTTAATGGTTTAGCCCCCCAACGACTATGTGAAGCTTTCCAAAATCTGAATACCATTCATGATCATAATCTGAGAGGTTCTTCAACAAGGTTTTATATTCCAAGACCAAAAACGGAATCCTTAAAAAAAAGCTTCCAATATAGTGGGGCTAAACTATGGAATCAGATACCTGAAGAGATACGCAATTCGGTATCGTATAATTCGTTCTGTAAAAAGCTATCTTCCTCGACCTTAATCTCGACTTAAAGTAGTAGTTAATTTTTGTCTAAATAGGTATATAATTGTATTTGTTATGTATGTAATATTAGAGCTAGTATATAAATAATAATTTGTAAGTACACATCCCTTTTGGAAATCAGCTTTTGCTGAAAAGGCCAATGTGTTTAAATAAAGTTGATCTATCTATCTATCTATCTATCTATGTTGCTTGTATGTATACTCTTGAATATTAGGAATAAGGGAGTGTTCATTATTTATACCCAGGGTTGGTACCGAAGAGAAATGGGTTGGGTAAGCCATTTTTCTGGGGTATGAAGGGTTGGGTAAATATTTTTTGAACAAAGCCTATGGTTGGGTAAATTATTTTCAATACAAACCTTCAATTGAACAAAATATGAAAATCCTTTATTTAACGAAATTGGTCATTCCAGGAAATATCCATTCATTCCCCACAAAGAAAACTAAACTCCAACTCCCCATCCCCTCTGATTACAACAACGAGATATGGTGGAACTGCAGGAACTTGGAGGCTTGGGAACATAATATGAACTTGTGAAGGTACAAATGATTATATTTGACATTCAGTTAGTGCACCAAATAGTACAGTACTGTTTATACTATACTGGCCTAGCTTGTATAATAATATATATATAAATATATATATAAATATATATATATATATATATATATATATATATATATATATATATATATATATATATATATATATATATATATATATATATATATATATATATATGGGGTATAAATACGATTGTCTCACGTATCTAGACGTGTACCAAGCTGCACTGACGAGGCGTTGCATGTCTGCAGATTGTACTATTACGCTCCTTCACTTCGGTGTTGTTGAGCACTCTGCGGAGTTGTTAATGGGTGT